TTTCCCCATGTTTTTCACGTCAGCTGTGAGATTGGCACGCATGGAGTTGCATATTAACAGCGATGGTGAGGGGTGGAAAAAAAAAAAACACTTGGTCTCCTTACATTCACCTCATTCAGACACTCTTTCATCATCTCCTCAATGAGGTGGTCTCAAAAGTCGCAGTTACAACACACATAGGGCGCACCGCACCATAGGGCGCACCGCACATTTTGAGGAAAAAAAAAGACGTTTAAGTGCGCCTTATAGTCGTGAAAATACGGTAACACTGGTACATTAGCAGCGTGGCAATGAAGAAAACAGTGTTTGTAATGAAGTGAACTGAGACTGGGAAAAAAGTACATGGGAGAATATGACAGAAAACACACAGGACATAAAACCAGGTGCTATCTTAGTCAATAGACAGCTGACGGAAAAAATCCAAACAAAAAACCCCTCATCAGTCGTATCAGAACAGGGGCACTAGCACGGCTGTGATGGATTTTCCATCTCGGGGCTCTTTCCAAGAGGGATGTAGTCTGGCAGCAACAATGGACCCCAGTTCCTGAGATTGCGCCACATATAAGGTGATGTCCAGTTGGGATGTTGCGTCTCTCAGTTGCGTCCAGGCTGAGGTGCAGGGGAAGAAAGAGATTTTCCTAAGTGGATTTAAAGATGCTGCAGGAGTATGATTCAGGATTTGATGTCATGGGGAAGGATTAGGTCAAAATACAGCTGTAATCTGATACCTTCAGTTAAGATGGTTTGGATATTTAACAGCTCTTATAATGGGCCTCTGTTTTGTCTGCTTTTTCTCATTTTCACTACTACCCTCTTCCATCCATCAGGGATTGCTTTCTGTTACGACTTTACTCCCCATTTCTCAGAAAATTGCCCACAATCTTGCACAAGCCTGCGAGCCGGGCCCCGACCAATTTTGGCCTAAATTATTAAAGATTCTTGAGCTTTTCGAACTTTCATGGTCATTAAGCCTGGATGTTATAGACTTAGAACACCCTAATGGCTAAAATGTATACAGTTCTACTTTAATTGCTACTTTATCCACTGGAACAGATGTTGAAATGACTTCTTCAAAATCCTGGGCTCTGCATTATTTTTGAATAAAACAAATTTTACTTTAAAACATAGCAGCATTGTGCCATAATTGTCATGGTCTTGGTTCTGCTGTTCTTTACTTTGCTCCTTGTTTTCTAGATTTATTGGTTAAATTCCAGTTTTGTTGTAATTTCTAGATTTATGTTAGTTCTCATGTTTTTCTGTTGTCCTCTGTTGCCCTCAAAGCACAATGCCCTAACCCCCCCAATCTCCTCTTTCTGTCTCACCTTCCTTTTCGTTTCTGTGTCCATTACATATGATGTTAGTGCAATTTTCAATAAAGTTTACCATAGAAGTATCAAGTAGAACCTTATGTCTTCCACCGTAATGGTCTGCTTGTGAAAGCCAAGCTGTTGGGCTATCATCTAGCTCTTTTCCCAAAGCTATATAAGCAAAGCAGAACACAAAAAGAAAGAAATGGAAGCAGTATCAGACCGCTGCAAATCTACAACGCCTAGGGACGCCCCTCTAAATTTTAAGCACAAAGAGAAGACAGACCAGAG